CTCGGGGGCGCTGAACTGCGAGGGGTCGTGCAGCACGGAGCCCAGCACCGGGTACACCTCGGTGCCCTGGCGGGAGAGACGGGAGAGCCGCGTGATCGCCCGCGGGCACGGCCCGGCGCAGGCGCGATCTGTCCCAAAGCGAAGGTTACGTCGCGATCTCGTCGCCTGTCTCCCGACGCCCGCAGCTCCGGCAACTGCGCTCTGCTCCTCCCGGAGCTGGGAACCGCCCCCAGGAGACCCGGCTCTGACCACTACCCCCCGCTGCCACCGCAGCGCTGGGCCGTACACCACACACAGCAGGCGCCTCCTGGCTTTCCATGCGTATCATGCCAAGGCAGCCCATGTCAGGTAACGGGTACTAGGGGACCAGAGGAGCCCCCAGAGCTGAGGTCAGGCCCCGGTGCTGCCCGGAGCCGCACAGACCCTGACAGACATGGGCGCTGCCCACTGCGAGCGAATTCCCTGCCCCAAAGAGCCTACAGTGGAAACGGGAAAGGGAGGGATCACGAGCCCCACAGGTGAGTGTAACGTGGGGAAACTGAGGCAGGGGTGAGGCCCTAGGCCCCATAATGAGCTAGTAGCAGAGCCAGCCACAGTGTGGTGCCTTGCCTGCTAGATCACGCAACTTCCCAGAGGCAGCACCCTGCCCAGCCCACCCTCCTGGGGCCGGCGCTACCTTGGGAATGATGTACCCCCGGAAGGGGGTGTCCCGGGTCACCCGGCGGGCCAGCCCCATGGGGATGACGTCGCAGAACCTCTGGAACTCGTGGATGACGGCGTCGGTGTAGGGCATGTGGCTCCGGTCCTCCATGCTGGGGGCGCGGTTGCGCCCGATCACCCGGTCGATTTCCTCGTGGATCTTTTCTGCGGAGACGGCGGCACAGCTCCAGGGGGGCCCGGCGGGGAGCCAGCTTGGCCCCAGCGGGAGCTGCCCCCCACCCGGGCGCCCCCCACCGGGTCCTTTGGGCGGCCTGTGCGCCGGGGCGGCTACCTTCGATCTCGGGGTGCTTGAGCAGGATGAGGAGGCCGTAGCGCAGCGTGGTGCTGACCGTCTCCGTGCCGGCGAAGAAGACCGAGAGCGTGGTCAGCACGATGTTCTTGAGGGAGAACTCGGAGGCCGGGTTTTCCTGCTCCTGGAAAAGACCAAGGCGGGGCAAAGGGACGTGTGAGGACCTTCCCGATTCGACTGGGCAGACGCCAGCCGGGACGTCGCTGCGCTGTCCCTGCTCCTGGCTGCTCCTGCACAAAAATGAAGCAAACCACAATCCCCCCCTTACAGCTCTCCTTCCCTGTAGGCAGGGGGGAAACTGAGGCACAGCGCGATGCTGTGATGTGACTAAGGCCACAAGGGCAGGCGGTGGCAGAGCCCAGCTCAACGGAGTTCCAGCCCTGCACCTGCACCTGCTCCCCGGCTCTGTGCTTTCCAAGGGGCTCGATTTCCCTGCCCCCCACGCCTGAACCCCGGTCTGACCCGGGTACAGTACAAAGCCCCGGTTAGAACCAGGCCGTTTGCTCTTCCCCCTTCCGCCCCCTCCCCCCCCCCCCCCGGCACCTGCTGCATTTTGACCAGGAAGCAGTCGATGAAATCCCGCGGGGCGCTGGGGTCCAGGCTCTCCAGGTTCGCCTTCACCTTCCTCTGGATGAACTGCTCCAGCCCGGCCAGCTGCTTGAAGGCCTCGCGCTGGGGGCCAGGCAGGTAGCACATGGTGCCCGAGAACATCTCGTAGAGCTGGGGGCAGGGAGAGCCATGGAGCCGCTGAATGGGGGCGGGGTGGAGAGCTGGGGGGTCCCTCCCCTGCCCCCCCTCCTCAGTCTGTTCATCTCTCCCGGTTCACACCACCCGCCCACGTTCCCTTGGGTGGCACCCAGCACCGCAGACCCCGCCTCAGCTCCACTCTGGTCTCCCCAGCTTCGTACCCCCTGGCCCGGAGGAGCCAGCGCCCCCCCCACCCCACGGGCAGGCCTGGGAGCCGTGGCGGGGGGCTGGGCTGCTCCCCCCGGCGGGGACCCCGGCGTACCTGCCCCCAGGCGGTGGCGGTGAAGCGGAAGCTCTCGGTGATCATGTAGAGCAGGGAGAGGAACTCCTTGTCCTCGTAGGGCCCCCCGGGGCAGGCCTGGGAGCCGTGGCGGGGGGCTGGGCTGCTCCCCCCGGCGGGGACCCCGGCGTACCTGCCCCCAGGCGGTGGCGGTGAAGCGGAAGCTCTCGGTGATCATGTAGAGCAGGGAGAGGAACTCCTTGTCCTCGTAGTCGAACCGGTCCCCGAACACCACCGAGCTGATGACGTTGGACACGGAGCGGCTCAGGAAGTAGGTGGGGTCAAAGGGCAGACCTGGGGGGGGGCACACGCATGGGGTGGGTGCCTGCTGGCGTGGGGGGCAGTGCCACGGAGCATCTCGCCTCCACGGATCCCTCGGCCATGTGCCACGTCCACGTGCGGAATAATTTTTTGGTGTGCACCGGGAATGTGCACTACCAGTAAAGCCAACAATGGGGCGGAGAGGCAACTGAATCTCTCTGGAGCGGCCACCCAAGCGCCCAGCTCACAGGGAACGCTGCCGACGGTCCCCTGACCCCTGGCTGGAGGCCCGGCCCCGAGGGGGAGAGGAGGAGAACTGACCCGGCCCTCGCGAGCAGCCCACGCTGTTCCCGGCTCTGCCCCTCGCCCTCTTCCCCCTCACCCAGAGCACACGGGCTCCCACCGACCAGCCCTGAGGGGCAGTCTGAACCACGCATCCCCCCGTTATTCAACCCTCCTGGGTGTTCCTGCCTCGCCCCTGCCGGGCCCAGGGGCTGTTTGCTTGGCAGCTGTGAGTGCTGAGCCGGCTGTTTCTCAGGTTGATCTCTGTCCTCGCAGGCTGGTTTCACGTGTCGCCTCCCGCCCCCTTTCCACGTTGGCCACGTCTTTGCCTGCACTGGCAACTGACCAGCTACGCTGGCGCCCTCATTGGCGTCAACCCCCACACCGCCCGCGAGCG